CAGTTAATTAATGGCAGCTCATTAGCTGTCTTCTGACTTCCCAGTATATCTGGGTTTCTGTCGTTGTCAACTCCCAATATATTCAATTACCATGGTCGTCAGTAAGCAAATAATACGAATTATGAATTGTATTGAAATTTATTGAAAACATGGAATATACTGATTTCCAAGGCTTTGAAATTGTCATAAATTTAAGCAAAAATTTGAAGAAAAACACCCAGATTCTAAGAAAATCCAAATTTAATTTCCGATTGAGAAGTAAATAAAGTAATTGTATAAAATATCACAAAATATCGTAATAGACAAGACAATTTTAGAGGTCCTCTGTGTTTTTCTCCTCAAAATGTTGTAGTCGAGTGAGTTGCTCTTGAGAGTCAAGTATCTTTTGAAATTTCTCATTGGATTCGATTTCATTCTCATTGTATTCTAATGTTCGAGGAGTTGTAGTCTCCTCAGTGGCATCCATAATTTGCAGAGGAGGTGATGGAGGTGTGCATGAAGACGAGTTTTCCTTATTTTCAACAGGCCCATCGATATGAGTGTTCTCAAGCAAAGAATTCTAAAAGCACATTAAGTGGACCTCTAGGATATATCTAAGCCACTTACCAGTGAATTTGGGTGGGCAATTTGTTGGTCTAGTAGGGCTTCACTTCTGGAAAATGTGAGTCTCTGGAAAGCCTTGGACTTCACCACTTTCGTCACTTTATCTCTTCTCTCATCCAATCCATACTTAGGTAGGTAGAAAGAGGGGACATGAGCAGTTTCTGTATCGATAGGCTCCCACTTCAAATTGTCATATTTCTTGCAAAATTGGGTGAAGTTTCTCTTGCAAATTTCATGCAATTGTTTGTCCAAATTGTTCCTGGCACGTGGAGTGGAATTGGGAAACAATTGGCGCTTTGGGAAAGTCATTTCTGTGAGCTTCACAAACAACCTTCCAGCACTTATATTGGGGCAGAACTGTCCTGATTTCTAAATATATTGTTTGTCCACTTACTGCCTTCCAGTGTAATGAGAGAGTTGAGTGGGTTTCACTTATTAACCAATGAGACCCGAGGTCATGTGAGTCTCAGGTCATAAAGGTTATAAAGCTTTTGAAGATGGGTTGGGGGGGGGGGGTTGGACGGGTCAAACTCGACCAATTGAAAACAGGGTTTGATATGGCTTTTTCATCAATCAACCTCATGTTAATTTTCATACAATGAAGCAAATGCCGTTTGTCGGCGTATAAACTGAAAAAAATCAATCTCTTGTTATGGCAGTCAATTGGTTTGAAGTACTGATATTGTTCAAAATTTTAAGTGTCTTATTGTCATCTTATTTTGTCTGCTCATTGTTAGTGACTGTAAACTAAATCGGGAACAAAGTTTAGAATTTGTGGACAGATAAGAACAAATGAATAGTGGGCGTTATTATGTGAAAGAATTCTTCGAAAATCTCGAGAAGGCGTGTACGAGCAGTAAGCTTACTCCGTGTCTGCTCACTTCGAATTCAACCCCTTCTCCTGGCCAACAGGACCTGGAGATGAAAAGTGATAAACTGAAGCATCAAGTAAGCAAATCCACATATTTGCATTCGAGCATCTAACTTTTGGAGCTGACTATAGATGCTTTGTTTATTTAAGGGGATATTCGGGTCTAGAACACTGCCGGTGAGTTCGCTACAGCTGCGTTATCACTCAATGCTGATGTGATCCAACACCACATCGAAGGAATATAACAGCACACACATGCTACTTGAGCAGATCGAACGTGCCACTCCATTTGTCAGGTAATTTGGACTCACTTGTCTCCAGTATTTAATTAGTAAGATAGCAAAAATACTTTTTTACAATATGCCTCATTGACAGGTTGGAAATTTGATAATTTTTGGTCTCTTTATAGGATAACTTTCACCGCTTATGCGCCAATAAGACCCAGATCGTATTGGAACCGATTTCAACCACTTTGAAAGCAGAATCTATTCGCTTTTATAACATTAAACTATATCAAGGCCCAACGTATTTCGATTTTATAGATTAGAGATTTTTTTGCCAATTGGCTTCAATAACCCGAGTTTGATCAAGGGCTATAAATTGTGAATGCCACTTAGAAATTCAAGAGGCAATTTATTCAACGTATCACATGAAGCTCATGCAAAATAGGAAACACAAGGCGAATATTTACGTAATGGTCCTCAAATTCACCAGAACTGGCCGAGTTAATATTTATTATTAATTCACGTCAAAAGGGGTGTGCGATAGACTTACAACCACGTGACGCATCCTGGACAACGTATACACATGTGGTAAAAAAGTCTATCACTCGGTTGTTGACTTCTGACCTCAAACTACCATGACCCGACCGTATGTCGTATTCGACGCCTTCCATAGTACTCATCTTACCTTTTCTCTGCCTTTGTGTCTGTCTGTCTGTCTCTTCTACATCTGTGAATCACACTTCTGTTCTCCCTCTCAAATTTGTCTCACTCTGATTCCCCCCCCCCC